GGCGAAATGCCTTTTTCTTTCTCTCGCTATCTTCCGTACCGCGTAATTCGGTCACCTAATAGATTTTGTGTAACTGCAGGCTACCTGGAATTTGCTTCTGAAATGTGCATCTGTTTTTCGGCTGGACGATCCACACGAGAATCTGAATGGAGCGTTTGGATAAAAGACTCCAGCTTGCATCTGTGTCCCTTCCATTTTCCCTTCTATCTCTGTTTTCCACTCTATTCTTTCCCGTCTCCATTTGCTTTGAGCCTCCAGTGATGTGAGCCGCTGATCACATCGATTGTGTTTTACAAAACAAATTTGCAGGCACAGAATGCACTTATTTGGTGACATGAATGGCTGAAAGAGGATTTTGACTAGCCTATAGCAGATAAATGAGGAGAGGAGTGTGCATTTACCATTAACACGAAAAAACTTCCACCAATGAAAGAAGGACACAAACCGTATCTAGATACCAGTATATCACAGAGACTTGACTGTTCAAAACCACTCAAAGCACCCTAGCAACTGTATAGCACCTTAACAAATCGCTCAGAGCACCTTAACAACCACACAGCAACATGCTTTAATCACTTAGAGTACCTCAACAACACCATAACTATGTACTTAAGTCATTCAGAGCACCTTAGCAACACCATAACAACGTGCTTAAGTCACCCAGAGCACCTTAACAATCACATAGCAACACGCTTTAATCACTTAGAATACCTCAAGCCCAAATATTCACGCTGTTGCCGCCGCTGCCATGTTGTGGAGATGCTGTGTGTTTCGTTAGAAGCCTGCCGGCCGCTCCTTCGTCGAATCCACCGGCCGCGCCGTTCTCAAGCCCGCCGGCCGTTCCTCACTCTAGGCCGCCGCTCACTCTAACCCGTCGGTCGTTCCTCACTCTAGGCCGCAGTGTAGAGTAGCACTTGTTGTTTCTCCAGACATGGTTTTATGTTTATGCAGCACGATACGCAACGCAACGCAACGCGTAAAAAGACAGTATAAGTCATTATAATCAGTAATTGTGTTCCCACTGGATGCAACAAATGCCTCGTTGGTAATGGGTTTTATTGTTTTTGCCTTGTCGCGCCGGGACACAGCATCACAGTATGGTAAGGGGCGTAACATTTCCGTCACACGCTTGAGGTATTCAGCCAATCACAATGCACTGGATAGCTGGCCAATCAGCGTACACCTCGCTTTTCAGACCGATGAGCTTTGTAAAAATCGACGCATTTCAGAAAGGCGGGGCATAAAGGAGCAACAATAATGTACATTATGTGGAAAGTAATGTGTTTTTTGAACCTTAAACCGCATAAACACATTGCATTACACCAAATACACAACATAATGTTCTTTTTAGCAACGTCATATGACCCCTTTAAATCATTCAGAGCACCCTTAGCAACACCATAACAATGTGCTTAAGTAACTTAGATCCCCTTAGCAACCACTTGCATTAATCACTTAGAGTACCTTAGCAACACCATAACAACATGCTTAAGTCACTCAGAGCACCTTAGCAACCCCATAACAATGTGCTTAAATCTCCCAGAGCACCTTAGCAACCCCACAGCAACATGCTTTAATCACTCAGATCACCTAAGCAACAACATTTTAAAGTAAAGCTTTTGTTTTCAGGATGCCTAGATATTTTCACTTACTAAAACAAGATACTTTTTACATTTTAATTATTATATTATTTTATAATTATTATAATTATAGTTTTAATATTATTAAATATTATTATATATTTATTTAATTATACAATATTTTATATTTTATTTACTAAAATATTTCATATTTATTTGTTATTATTATTTTTATTTTTTATTTACCGCTACGAGAGCATGTGTGCATGGATACCCATGTGCATGAGCGAGCAAGTGGGAGAGAGATAGTTTTCCATCAT